CTCTCTCTCTCTCTCTCTCTCTCTCTCTCTCTCTCTCTCTCTCTCTCTCTCTCTCTCTCTCTCTCTCTCTCTCTCTCTCTCTCTCGATCGCTCTCTCTCACTCTCACTCTCTCTTTCTCTTTCTTTCTCTTTCTCTCTCTCTCTCTCTACACACACACACACACACACACACACACACACACACACACACACACACACACACACACACACACACACACACACATATATATATATCTTGTCCTGCGTGTAGAACTGCATTAAAAGTGACATACATTGATAATAATGGTAATGATGATGACGATGACGCTGATGAAAATGATAATGTTTATGTGAATGATGATGAACGCGAAGCGAACGCACCTGCAACCAGCCTCCAGATGACGTTGAGGACGGCCACATTGAGGTTCCAATTGACCTCCGTCGGCCTCCCCGCCCCTCCCTCGAGGTCCTTCAGGAGGCTCGCCACTTCTGGATGGATGACCTTCTCGAGCGAAGAGCGACCGAAGCCGAAGTCCCTCAGGTGGCGCAGTGCGAACCGGCGATTCTCCTGCCAGGGGCGTCCCTCGGAGAAAATCAGGCCTAAAGGGATCCCGTGTCGTTGAGATATGGCTTAACATTATTATTGCTAAGTTTGTCCAAAGTTTGACTGGGATGCAAGCTTTATCCAGAATGTGAATATTGTAAAGGTATTTCAAAATTTGACTGACTGGATAACTTTATTCAAAATTTGACTCGTTTGGGAAACTTTCAATAAATATGACTTGTAGAGTTTGTTCAGAAATTGAACATGACTTGCAAACTTTATTCAAAATTTTAACATGTCTTATAAAGCTTTATTCAAAATTTTAACATGTCTTATAAAGCTTTATTAAAAATTTCATGATTAATATAGAAAAAAAGGTAACCAACACAATCACAACATCTACTCCCTCTATCTTCCCAACACGCACACAAACACACACACACACACACACACACACACACACACACACACACACACACACACACACACACACACACACTGTACCTTTTCCAGTGAAATACGTGAAGTACTGAAGGGTGAAAATCCACGGCCTTCCTGAACAATCCGCCGTCGAGAAAGTGGTCTTAATGAGGCTGTAGTCACTCAAGACCACGAGGAACAGACTGCCGAACCGCCAGCTTCACGTGTGGGAGAAGGAAGATGGGGAGGAAGAGAGGAGGGAGGAGGAATATGGAGAGAGAAAAGAGGAAGGAGGAGAGAAGAGGAGGAAGGAAGAATATGGAGAGAGAAGAGAGGGAAGAAGGAGAGAAGAGGAGGAAGGAGAAAGGTAAGGAAGGAGGAGGAAGAGAGGAAGGAGGAGAGAAGAGTAGAAAGGTAAGGAGAGAGAAGAAAAAAGAAGAAGAGAGAAGGGAGAAAAAAAGAGGAGAGAGGGGAGAGAAGAGGCAGTAGAGAGGAGAGAGAAGAATAGAGAAGGAGACGAGTAAGAAGACGAGGGAAGATTACCAGCTATCATTTTAAAATCATAAACGATATCATTCTCACTATCATTGCTGTTATCATTATCATCATCAAACACATTATAATATATATAGCATCTATTCCTGTTCTTATAAATATAATTCCAAATGCTACTGACGCCGGACGGACCTGTAAATGTCCCCGTGTTTCTTTCTCAGCCTTTTTATAGTATCTGGCAGAGTCTCGCCCCTTGGAGGGAAGTAGCCGATCACTGGCCAACCCCACGGACCTGTAGAGAGAGAAAGAGAGAGAGAGAGAGAGTCGAGGGTGCGTAAGGAGTAGAGTAAGGAGAGGAAGACAGAGAGAGAGAGAGAGAGGAGTGTGTGTGAGTGTGGGTGTGTGTGTATAGGTGTGTGTGTATAGGTGTGTGAGTGTGAGTGTGTGTGTATAGGTGTGTGGGTATAGGTGTATGTGTGTATATATGTGTGTGTTTGTGTGTGTGTGTGTGTGTGTGTGTGTGTGTGTGTGTGTGTGTGTGTGTGTGTGTGTGTGTGTGTGTGTGTGTGTGTGTGTGTGTGTGTGTGTGTGTGTGTGTTTGTAGAGTAGAAATTTTGATGACGATAACATCATCGCCTGCACCAATAATTGGACTGGTTTGTATGTATGGGAGGCTAATGCTAACAAAGATTGTAAGTGCCACATTTGAAGCTTCTATAAGTGTTTAGAAGCAGTGATATTTTATGTATCTATTATTATGACTTTTAATCTACTTAGTAACATCGGGAATTTTATAGATATGCCGTGACCATATCTACAACACGGCATGCACTGAATTATGAGCTTACATAGATGGTTTCTCTCGAGTTCCTCTGTAGGTTCTACGGTATCTTTTACAAGTTCTAGGTCTAGTTATTTGAGAGCTAGAGTTAGTTTAGCTTTGAGCTATGGCGTAGCTGGAGAGGAGGATCTCTGCACGGGCCTAATCTTAATACACAATTACAAAGGGTGGTGATGCTTCAGAGAGTCCATAGATCGGCAATAGGGCTCTACAGGGGGCTT